GAGCATCTTTAGTGAACAGGTATTCCTCGAACATTACATTAAAACTTCATAAGGATGCATTTACAATGGTACTGTGTTCAATAGACCACAAGCAAATGCATTTTGCACTCCACACCAATAAATGATATACAGAATAAGGTTAGTGTTATAACCTCTACAGCAGCTATCAAGGCCCTCACCAGGCCCGTCCCTGTCTCCATTGATCCTAAGCGAGTGTCTCCAATCTTACAGGAAATCAATTGTGCACCAGGCGCAGCTCCATTCAGCAGAGGTTCCTGTGTAAGAACTCAACACAATAGTGCCTTCGAAAATTTTAATACAAATGAAAAGCCAACAGTTAGGTAACATACATCTGGATGAAATGCAGCTGCAATGCCCGCGACATGAGTAGCATGGGGAGAGCAGTCAGTTACTATACTAACAAGGTTCCCATCATTATAAACATTTGCTACAAAAGAGCAAGCATCCAATTTGCTAAAAATTGCATATTTACGTTCAAGCCTGCAGGAAAAAAAATAGTGCATCAACCATTCATCTGAGATCAGAAACACATTGTTTAATATATAAGAACACTGCATACCAAACTGAAGCTAAAACAAAGATAAAAGATTATGTTTCAACGGTTAGCTGTAAACTAGAAATTTATACTGCATAGAAACCTGAAGCTAGGCACATACTATCACATACAAATATAAAATGGTCAGATGCCCCAGCCACAATAAGGGTTACATCAGTAATGGACAAATGGTATATAGAGAAGTCTATGACTCGAAATAAAATGCTCTCTGGTTCGGGCTTAAAAAAAATAGAGCTTGCGTTCCGGCACATATGAGATTTAATCATTTGAATACCTAAGGTGCTTTGATTAGACAATTCCTTTCTTTTTTTGTGTTCAAATGGTGGATGTTTGCGAAACCATATAAAATTTTCATGGAGTATTTTATGGCACTGTATAGAAATTATGACAAGAACCATTGATAAATGAATGCAGTTCATTCAAACAACATGCAGCAAAGCATGGGCTATACAGTAATAGAAAACAAAACCAGTATAAGAAATGAACAAGACCAGGAACTGCAACATCTAGTTAACAACAAAAAATCAACTATACCTGTAGTTTGTCAGTGGAACAAAATCTGCTAGTTTTCCACCATCATTGCTACCCTCAAGGGTCTGGGTATCGACAGCAACCCTCCACACATCACCATCATTCCATGTAACAATATCGATTACAGGTCCCTTATCATCATAACCCTACAAAAACAGGAGGAATACATTACACTAGAAAAAAAAAATCCCCTTGCGTTCTATGTGGTCTTCTTACTTCAGCTTGTTTCCTCAGGTATTCAAGTCTGCTTTGCAGGTCTTCATGAGCCTTCTTCACCACGGTGTCATCAGGCTTAGGATGCTTCTGCAACCATTACCAACTAACATGAGAACTTCTGAAAGAGCACTTAACAATGCCCCCAGCAGCAATACTTGTCTACACTGCAAAGAGCAAACTAAATGCAGTACATACAATAAAATAAACAATAGGCAGGAGTGGAGAATCAAGATGCAACCAGAATGGACCTAAACCTTTTCAAATTCATTCAGCTGCTTCAGAGCATTGGAAATTGCTTCCTGGTTTTCCTCGTCCCATTTCTTCTTTCTTTCTTTCTGAAGTGCGGGTGGGTAGATCCTTGTTAAGATATCAAGTTCAATATAAAAAATTTGGAGTGTAGGCACTGAAAATGGAATTTACCTTCAATCGAGATATAAGTGTGTTAGTAAACAGTTCATATATTAATTTACAGCCAACATGCCACTCTTGAGAAGGGTTTTTCCATGAGGGGTTTATAACCAAATGAGCACCTGGGTGCAAACAGCATATCAGGGAAGAGTCAGTAGAATTCCAATAGGAATATGGATCCCTATTGGCAGCATTGATGAGACAAGGAACATTCATTCATAAATCCATTGCAAGTAAGAAAGGTATACACTCCATACATTTTATTATTCACAAGAATGCTGAGTATTAAAAACTACCATCCATTTGAGAAGAACAAGAAATGGCATGGAAGCTAAACACCATCTCACCAACCTGAAGCACCAACAATAGCACCATCAGCATCAGCTTTCACCACTTTGGACGTGTCGACATCACCACTACCAGTGCTGCATTTAAGAGCATACATGTATTTGAATTAATGGACACATAATTCAAGAGAAGTAAGCATCCAAATGTTGGAAGGATCAATAGTACCAATCAAGTACATCAAGGATTTTAGGCTTTCCATCTGAAGTAGTCTGCAACCCAGCAGCAGCTGGATCGACTCCGGTATCTGTCATGTTTACAAGTCAACATCAGCACGACACAGCTAGGAGAATCAAGCCTATGTATGGAATTGCACACAAATCGGATCCATCGTAGATCACGCAAGACTCAGACTGTGCCCGACTGCCCATGCCCTGCATTCATGCTTTGCCTAAACAAGAAATTTTACAAAGCAATATCTAATGGAGATGTAACAACCCCCCACTGATTATACTTCTCTCCATGTTTATTTATCATATATTTCTTAACTATGGTTATTTATTTGAACAAACTTGGTTGTGTTTCTTTAGCAAGATGAACACTCATGCCAACAGGTAAAGGCTGCTAATATCATCTGAACAATACAACAAGCAAGCAAAGTCAAGCCCATAAACTGCAAGCAGGATTCAATTAAGGATGCAACTATTGGGAGAGAGTTTTCCCAATAACAGTTAGAGTGCAACCCCACCTCCCCCCAAAAAAACACAAAAAAAACACAAAAAAAAGTCCACGCCTTACGTCTTCCCCCAACAGGCAAAAAAACGCTCTTGCTCGTGCTGTCATCAGCCACAACTGGATCTCATTGACTCACCAAGCGCCACCACCGCTACACAAACCACTCAAATCCTCAAGCACTAGCCACATAATTATTGTACCTTGATCGGGGAGAGCAAGGTTTTGTGCTCAAAACAAAGCCCCGCCATCCTTCACCGTCGCAGCTGCAGCCTTGGCCCTTGGCACCAAACCCTCACCCACCCAACTGCCAGTCCGGTGTCCTCCCCCAAAGCTCCCTTTAGTCTGGCAGCACCAGGTAATCCCAGCCCCAAAGCCTAACCTTAATAGTTGGCAGCTTCTCCTCTTGTTCTTTTCTTTTCAGGATTTTGTTGATTCTGACATCCATAGTTGTTAAAATCTCGAATTCTCGATTCTAATTCTATGGTGCGGTTTTACGACTTTACGATCCAAGTTTATCGGGTTGATCTACGATTCTGTTAATTAGAATCTACGATTCTAGTAGTTATGATCCTACCATTTTTTACCCTACCATTGGAGTTCCGATCCGATTTAGGTTCACAATTTTAATAACCTTGTTCAACAGCAATTTGTTTCCAAATCTAGGGAGCTCTCAATTTAGATTTATGTTCTATAAATAACAAATCATATTCTGCAAAATTCAGTGTCACTTCCACAGACCATGAGCCTCCTATATGTGACAAAGATCACACCATACACACCAGCTTAAACCACAGATATCGAAAACAGAAATATACTCGCTAAAATTCAGAGAGGCTGTTATCCTTTAACTGGTATAAAACCCACAGCGCCCATCTCAGTTATGAATCCGAAAAGCATGCGGTTACAAGCCACGCAGCTCAGTGACTTCACCTACTTAAACACCGCAAACCACACAAATGACAACTACGAACCAAACCAGTTAACCCCATGCCCTATCATAGCATCGCCTACTAAAAGGGGCGAAGTCAACAACAGCCAACCCATAGGGGTACGCAATCACACCTACTTACTCACCGAAGATAGCGATGAGTGCGCCGCGCCCGTCGTACTCAGGGTGCGCGGCGAGGAAGCGGTCAACGCCGATCTCCTTCTTCGGCATGAGGGACTCGAGGAACGAGGGCTCGGTGAGGCGGAATCCACCCGCAGGGGCGGGAGCGGCAGCAGAGGCGGTCGTCTCCTCGGCTGGTGGCGGCGGAGACGGGGACGACGAAGGCATCGCGGTGGCCGAGACGCCCCTGCTAGGACTCGAGCGTCGAGTCGTAACCGCCGCCGCCACAGCGCTGGCTGTGCCGAAGTGAAGTGGTCCAGAACAGGCGGAGACTGCGATGAGGAAATGCAGGTTGGCGTGGGCGGACGGGTCTATGTAACGACGCCCACACGATTAGTCCTACACCTACCAGGCTACCACATCTCGTTTTACAGGATTTGAGTTTTTAATTCAAAAAAGTTGGCCTAATTTAATCGTGGAATCTGCGTGGAAAGCTTTGCTCTTGGAAACGATGATGAGATAAATAAGTGGAAAGAAAATTGGACTGGAGAATGGAGACGAGTAATGCAGCATTGGAGCTGGGAGCAACAATGGAGTGTGCCGTCGTGCCGACCGCCGGTGGCTGTTGCAGTCTGGCAGCCGGTGGTTGGCTGGGGCTAATGGAGCGTGGCGTAGCGCCACTAGCCCAACAGATAATTTGTGCCTATCCTAGCAAAATGCTTGGAAAATAAGATGTGGAGAGGTATGAGAAAGACAAACTGAATGCATACCACTTAAGAACCATAGCAATTTAGAAATTCCCACTTCAAACATCAAACCATTACAAAATAATTGCCCCTTGCCAAATTAATTCCGTTGCTCTTTACAATATCTCTTCCGATGTTTGCCCTTGCTCCGGCGAGCAGGTACGCAAGATATGCCCCCATGTCAAAACTTATTTCTAAATATCTCAACAACCAACCCGGTTTCTCAAAGATCTCAACAACCAACCCGGATACATAACCTTTCAAGAGAATTCATGCATTGCATCATTTTATTACATACATGGCATTTACCACAAAACAGGGCATACAGAAGAAATACAGTAAAAACATCTCGGTTCTAAGCACAGTTTCAAACATCTCGGTTCTAAGAACAGCTTTATTAAAACGCTACTGAGGCAAATGCAATGCAGCAGTTTAGTAGGGCTAGTGGATCCAATTACAAGGTTGAAGAACTCCCTAGTAGCTTCTTGATGTCCTTCTGCAAAAATTTGCCAAAGTTAGTGCTGCAAGATGAAACAAGAAAACTCAAATGACCAGACCACCGACCAGGTCGATGTAGGAACTTACCTCGATGCTCAGTGGGGAAGTTGTTGGTGCGTACCGCTCCACAACATGCCCCTCTTTGTCAACCAAGAACTTGGAGAAGTTCCATTTTATGTTCTCACCAAAGAGACTACCTTTGCTGGACTTCAGGAACTTGTAGATGGGTGCAGTATTGTCGCCGTTGACATCAACCTAACAAAATGAAAGTTAAAAACTTTAAACTCCGTGTATGCTAATTAGAATCACATTCACAAGCACATGGATAATTCAACTGATGCATAAATTAAACTTAAACAATGAAACTGGTCCCTAATCCCCGCCATTTGATTTTTAAAACAATTATGAGATAGCCTTAGCAACAGCACAGTGAGTTCAAATATTACATTTCACACAGACAACATATATATAAAAAGAGAGAGAGAGAGAGAGAGAATGCTTGGATTCATTGATCAAGTACGGTAGCTGATCATGAACGTCAAGCAGATTTTTTCCCCTTTTGGCTTGGAAAATACAAAGACAAAAGAAATAAGTACTGTGTGCAGATTTACCTTGTCGAAAATTGAATATTCAGCCTTGAAGCGAGTGCAAGCAAACTGGACAATCTCCTCATTAGTGCCAGGCTCCTGCCCACCGAACTGGTTGCATGGGAAAGCAAGGATCCCAAAACCTGAAGACACATCAGATTGACAACATTTAGCACATCAATCATGTTTTGATATGAAGGAGCCAATCTATATGAGCAACAGAGCATGTGCAAAAGACACACTCCGTAATTAAGGAATAACGAGGCACAAGATTAGATACTTACCCTGGTCCTTGTACTTCTCATACAACTGGCTCAGCTCTGTGTAGTTGGAATTGGTCAAGCCACTGCAACAGAATAAAAGAGAAGTGGCCATGTTAACTCAAAAGTAGTCAACATAATCTAATACAATGGTACATGTGCACCTCATGATCAGGGATAAAAAGACTATGCAAGAACATACATATATTCCTATATTCCTAACGTACAAATAGAAATGGGGAGAATAACATTGACACTTAAATCTCCATAAATAAATAGTGCAGTTGGCAGGTGTCCCACTATTTTGATGTCCAACTGCAACCACTACCACGCTGTCTGTTTAACAGGCAAATTCCTCCCACACATGGATAACTCAAATGTTGATTCTCAAGAATAGAAATTACTATGGCGCTCAGGGTACGCGTTTAGCACAATATATTTAACGGTAAAAATTTAAATTTCTTTACTTGCTAGCTCCATCACACTTATCCACAAACATAAAGCTCAAATTATAAATACTCCTTCCATTCCAAATTGTAAGTCATTTTGGCTTTTCTACATTCAAAGTTTTTACTATGTCTATGTATCTAGACATAGTGTATATCTAGATGCATGGCAAAAACTATGTACCTAAAAAAGCCAAGACAACTTACAATTTGGAACGGAGGGAGTACACTACATTAGATGATTAGAAGAACTAAATGAGCATATTGCCACTAGTAAGCACCAAAGCACTCTCCTACGGCCAGTTTCACCGTGAAACATGGCTTGTTTCATTATGAATAAGAGGATTACATGATGCATTCCACATAATTTTTCAAGCCATGATCAATTTTGCAACATAATGGAAAATGGTGTTAAGAAAGCAGTAAATTGGTACCACTGAGATGCAACATTGACTATGAGCAGAACCTTCCCCTTGTAGGTGTTAAGGTCCACATCTTTCCCGCTAGCATCCTGCAATCAACAACAACCAAAAAAAAAAGATCATCCGGAGACTATCGGGAACGAAGCAATCTTCAACCAAAACTGGAGTAGGAAGACAAGACTTGAAAAACAGCGGAATCAGGGAGGGATCTATGTGCAAATGCTAAACTCCGCGAGGACATGTGTACAAACTTTGTAGCTCTCGCTTTCAAAGAGAAATGAGGAATTGGTATTTTATACAGGCGATTGGGCCGTTTTGCGCACCTTGACGGTGAAGTCGTGGACGGAGGTGGCGGAGGAGGCAGCAGCCATGCTGAACAGTGCGAACCCGCCGGCTATCGAGCGCAGATCCAGCGACGACGAGACCGCGGTGGCGGCACGGAGGACGCGCTGGCAAGGTGTGGACAGAGGGAAGGGGCTAGCGAGGCGAGTGTGACGGCCGTAGCGCAGGGGCGCCGCGGAGGATGGAGGGGTGGAGATGGGGACAGCGGCGCACGTCGGGAGGCGGAAGCGCAGGCGAGAGAATAGTGGGGCGGGGCGGGGAGGCATCGGCGATCGGCCCGCGATTATACCGGAGCGCCGGTGCCGGTGACGGCGGGGCTGATGATAGAATGAACGAAGTAGGAGTATCTTACGGCCAGAGGCGGGGCCCCCACGGGCCACGGCCGTATCGTGTTGTCGGTGGCCACGGACGGCATGTCTCTCGCCACGTCTCACGCGGACGTGAGGGCTTTGTCAAAGCGCTGGCGCCGCCCGTCCGACGAGCATCCGACGGGCCTGTTACCGTATCTTCTGCACGCGAACGCTTGACCCCCTGGCATTAGTGCATTACCCGTGATGCGACAATGGATCGTATCACAATTATATATATTTAGTAGGCGTGGTCATCCGTGGTTACGAATAACTAATAATTTATATTAAAAATACACGGATTACACGATAAGATAATAATACTATTAAATCAAATACCAACGTTAAAGTAACATTTAATCTAAAAAAGTAAAGTTTATAAATTTAACATAATCATGTAGTGCGCGGCGTCGCAAGTTCACAAACTCTAGAGCTTCCAGAGATTGGGTCGAATCCAACCTAGACCCTTAGAACCCTGCATCTTTACCTGGACGGGCTTCACTTGGATGCGTCGGTAGCAATATCAACGATCTCCAGTCGATGGACCAAGTCGTATGGATCCTCATACAATAGCTCAGACATGTAGATTTTGTTCTCCTAATACTTGGATACACTTGTTACACTGAAGTTTTTATTGAAATGTTTAGATACGAACAATGTCTGATCACCGATGTCCCTCACCCTGGACCACTCCGGCGTACGGTCGTGGAGGTTGCACTTGTAGATCGCGCTGCTGTAAGTGAAGTTGTGTCTCGTGGAATGTGCTCATCATGGCACCCACAATGTGCAGCTCACCGTTTGATTTTAGGTAACTACGGCGATAGAGCCCCACAGGTGGCGACAACGATGGCAGCAGCGTCGTGGTTGAGTAAGCGCCGGCAACGTTGCTGTTGCAGACGGAGATTTCTCCAGTGTAGTCGATCGCCAAGAACTTGTCTTGACAGTGGATGATGGACCCCACGGAGAACTCCAATTTGATGTCGAACAGCGCCCATGCGCTGTCGACTCTAACCCAACAAAACGCGACCTCCGTGGAGCACCAAGCAATGAATAAATGAATGCACACAGTACCATTAACATAATCAACAAAACAAATCAAGCTAAATTGAAAAAATAAAAAGGAACAAAATCATGACTTAAAGACTATACGCACGTCACTCACGGTCATCTAGATTGGGAACGCCTGATGCATTCATTTTAAGCTGCATATTTTTCTGTCTCCATACGAAACTAAAACAATCAGTATTTTTTTATCCCTGCCTACATGCAAATAAAAAGTGAGATATGTTAGGTACCTATATAAGTGCATCTAGCCTTTTAGTGGGTTTTGGTAAATTGAATGACAACACAATTAAAGGTCTAATAAGTTTGCTAAGTGTTGAACATGAAATTGAGTCTATTGCATATACTTGTGGGTTGTGTATTAACAAGTATATACAAGGTTCAACTAGTAGGCAAACTTGATGATATGCCACATTGTGTTAAAGTGAATGCCAAACTGTATATTGTTGTATTGAAAGTTTATGGAAGCAATCTAATTCAAGCAAAAGACAACAATGCAAATGGAATCAATGAAATGGCTTCTATGTTGTGGGATATCATAGCATCATGTGAAAGCAAACATATTTGGTAAATGACAATGTATAGTGGATATAAGTTGGTCTCTACATTGGTTTGCTTACATGGATGAATATATGAAAAATCAATTGGAATGTCAAGCCAAAATAAAAAGGGAATAAGGAATCGTGAATTAGCTTGACCATATTGATGTTGATCCATGTATGTCTCTATGTGAGACAAACTGAAGCTTGATTGATCTCAATATTCATATCTAGAAAATATTCAAGCAAGGATCAAAATATTGAAGAAATGGTTTTCAATAGATGCTTAATATAATGTGACTTAAGTATGGCTTGATAGGGTGAAGATAGCAAGAAAAGGGCTTCGAGGTACTAAGCGAAGGTGAAGGGCAAGCGACGGCTTGGCGACCGAGGTACCATGGCTAAGGTGAAGAAGAGAGTACTTGCATTGAGTCGAGATACTAATCAAGATATGAGGAGTCATATTGTGTTGAGGATCAAATCATTATTGGAAGTGACTTGAAGCCATAAAAGTGAACTCATATGTATGGAAATGGTTCAAGTCACATAATCAAGGTATAATGAGAATAAGGAAAACATATTCGATAATAGAAGTTCTCAATTACCAAATGAAGTGGCAACCAGCTCAAAGCCATTTACATTCTTTTATGCTTTGAATTTGAGTTTAGGAAAAGCCGTACTATAAAGAGAGATTCTAGTATAGTTGGTCAACTGTGCAACCAGATGCTCAAAACTACAGATCTATATCCTCTTACCCAGTCAAAGCAGCCAGCCAAAAATCTCCAGATTCTACCTGTTTTGGCTAGGGCGGCAGTGCCGCCCATAAACGACCGTTGGGACCCAAGAGGTATAAATACCATTTGGGCCGGCCCACAACGCAGAGCCTTCTTCTCCAATGGTTCAGTTCGAAACTGAACAGACCAAAAGCTCACCTCTCTCTTCTCCATTGTTGCTCCTTCAAGCTCCCAAACAATCCTTGATTTCCACCAGCAAAACTTGAGAGAAAAGGCAGCAAAACTCGATTGGAGAGAAGATCCACTGATTCCCAAAGTCTAAGAGCATTTGGTTCACGTTTGACCGACGGTTTTAGGGTTTGTTACTCTTAGAGCTTGCTCCTAGCCGGCTAGGCGCCGCCCTTGTGCTTGCCAACTTGTGTGGCAGCCTTGAGAGGTTTGTAACCTCATCATGCAGCTAAGAAATTACCCCTCACTTCAAGAGTTCATTCTCTTAATTTGAGAACGAGGGCAAGGCAAGCCTTGGTGGCGAGCCAATCCTTTTGTGGATGCCTCAACAACGTGGACTTAGGCAAGCTTTGATGGCGAGCTGAACCACGGGATAAAATTTGTGTCTCGCGTGCTTCACTTTATGTTCTTACTGGTTCAGCTCTTTGCTAGCTGATTGTTAGGGTTTGGTACCTCGATCATCTCTTGTGTGAGATTTCTATGATATCCAGTCTTCGAACTTGATTTTGTCTTTCTGTTGCAGGATTGAGCAGCTGAGAGGGTCAGGTTACTATCTGTGAAATATCAACTCCGTCTGCTTTATTTTTAAAGAGCGGCAGTGCCGCCCTATAAAGCCGGCAGTGCCGCCCTCTGTTCTAACAGAGTTTCGAGTTGAATTTTTATAGGCCTATTCATCCTCCTCTAGGCCTCCTAGGCGACATCAAGGTCCTTTCAACCTAGCCAAATTATGTGTCTTGTGCAAAGATGATGAGTAGGACTCTAGCGAAGAAAATAGTTTGTACCTTGATGTTGAGGATCTGTCGACCACAACGGTTTATCAAGTACGGTATTTGTTAAACTAAACATCAGCTCAACCATTCAAGTGAACATGAGAACAAGATCCTTTTTTATTTCTTTTGAGCAAACCTAAGATAGACAAATGTACACTCATTAACTGAAAAAAATAATAACCTATGATAGACAAATGTATACTCATTAACTGAATAAATAATCAGACAAAGGCATAATCAGTGCCAAAAAGCAAAGTTCAATTCATGAGAGCAGAAGCAAGTCTAGATAGACAACCATATACATCTAAATTAGTACGATGTTTATTGGATATACATACGTTTGTTAGTTTCTTGTGGAGCAATTTTTATATAAATGTATAGCCATGAATCTGGCTAAAGTTTGAGAAGATAGTGATTGCAGTACATAAAACGGATGACCAACCTTGATAAATGTTCCAAAAATGCGGGATATACGGTGTGTCCGCGCGTTGTTACGGGACAACTAAATTTTTATATTAAAAATACACAGATCGCACAATAAGATAACAATACTGTGAAATTAAATATCCACATTAAAATAACATCAATCCAAAAGGCAAAGTTCGTAAAATTAACACGGACACGAAGAGCACGGCGTCGCAAGCTCACCGACTCTACTATATAGATCTTTCCAAATTTTTGTTGACTCAGATAATTAACAAATAAGCAATGCCCCGCCACATTTTTGTTGACTATTCACTGTGTTTTTTTAAGAAAACATGTGATGGAGAGACATTGTTGGTTTTTAACTTTTTTTTACATCATCACTAATCCAATTGAAGAGAGAGGACCATATTTTTTTTAAGAAAACAATGTTTATGAATTGTCATATTCTCAGAAAACTGAACTGGTTGTCATCTTTCTATTTTTGCCAGTAAAATTATCTGAGCTTTATATGTATAACCTGAAAACTAAACTGCTTGTCATCTTTCTATTTTTGCCAGTAAAATTATCTGAGCTTCATATTTATAACCTGGACTCAACATGGCCATGCCAAGGCATAAAAAGTTACCTTAGTTACAATATTATTATATTAAGCTCAATAACATGGCAGCTGATTATGCTCTACATCAAGCATCAGTGTATCAATGCCAACCATTGACTCATCCTCTAGAGTTTACAAATGTAAGCCATGGTAATAAATTGCAACAATTTAGGGCAAGTTCAGTGAGAAATTCCTCTTTTTCAAGGTTTAACTTCAGTGAGAAATCATCATTCTTTTTCTTGCCTGTCTACATCAGATTGTTCAAAAATAAACAAAGATCAATCCACAGACATTTTGTAGTGTAGAGATAACTTTGTGACCTAGCTTGGTGTTGCTGTTACGGGAACACCAATTCAGCGAGTGAGGTCTAGAGGTGCAAAGGCCTGATGCCAAACATCTGAATACCATCCAGTATAATAAAAAAATTAGCAAACCAAAAATTCAGTGGCCATAAAAAAAGTTGACAAGAGAAAAATATCTAATATATTTTACTAGTAAAGTATCTAACATTGGTACACCAAGCTCATGAATTGAAACTATCGGTAAATAAATAAGGCTCGAG